TTAAACCATGTTCGTCCGTCTATCCGCGAAGTCCAACAAACACAACAAGTTCTCTGACAATACTTCATTTGATTTTTTTTTTGAATTTGTCGGCCAAATTAATTGGTTTTATTCCAAAATAAAATTTACTTTTCAAAACTTCAGAAGAAGATTGCCGTCACGTTTAGGATGTGACCTCATCGATTGTTGGTCGATATCGATGACTTTGGGCATATTTTCAATAGTTACAATTATTTTTGTTTGTTATACAGATTTTAAATAACTCTATTCTATACTTTCTTCTTAAATTTTTCAGTAGCCGGAAACGGCTTGAGTTTTCTAGTCAGCTGCTACTAGAATCAATTTTGGTTCTTTTAATCGACAACTTTTTTAGATTACTGAGGTTTAAAATATGCGAACCAATGATCTTTAATATTCAAAAATTCTTAAAATTGAAAATTTTTTTTAAAAACTAGAGTCAAGCCCATAATACTAGCCCTGCAACAAAGTCAAAAGCTATAATTTTTACATTTTTTTAAATTTAATTGAATGAAGGCAAAGAATGTAGAAAATAGCATCAAATTTTAGAATAAGTTTAGATTTGTTCGAGTTGGTCACCTTTGGCATGAATTATGGCCTTTAAACGGCCAATGCCCACACGGTGCCCGAATGTTGTTCTGCGGTATTTTGGCCCATTCCCGGCGAAGCGCTTGCTTGAGGTGAACGACACTTTGGTATTTTTTAGTGCCAACATTGCTTTCCAAAATACTCCAGACACAATAGTCCAACGGACTGGTATCCGGAGATTTCGGTGGAAATGAAGCGAGGAACCTCATTTTGTAACCATTCTTGGTGGCGCGTGCTGAGTGCGATGGTGCTAGTACTGTTGGAACGTCCAAAGTCTGCGACAAAAAGGTGTGCGTGCCCAAGGCTTTAATACACCCTCCAGAATATTTTCGCGATAATATTCGACATTTATTCTGATGCCACGGTCGAAGGTGCACATTTTCAGCTGACATCTTTGGCAAGTAAACACTATCATTTTGTTTGTTTACAAACTGCTGGACAGCGAATGTTTTCTCATCGGAGAAAACCAAATTCGGTAGTTAACCACTTTCGGCCAAGCGAAGCAACTCTTTAGCTGTTATGAGTCTATTTTCTTTCTGTTGCGGTGTAAGATCTTGCACTTTTTGGAATTTTAATGGCTTTACCCGGAGCTCATTTTTCAATGGAATATTGCGATATGTTCAGCTCACGAGCCATTTTTCGGCCACTGCGACGTGGGTTTCGATCAAGTCGCTTCTTTACTTTTCGAACCATTTCTGCTGATGTTGCTGTTTTATTTCGTCCACTTTTTTGACGTCGGTCTACGCTACCAGTATCACGGTAACGAGTGATGGAACGAGACACAAAAGATTTATTCACATTTAAATGGTGGAGTGCTCTAACGATAGCCACGTGTGGTTTTCCAGCCAAATATAAAGAAATCACTCTATCACGCTTGAACTCCATCACGAATAACTTTTTTCTGGAAAATTCTCACCAAAATGCTTTTGTACGCTTGTAAACAATATAATTAGCTGTCACTGGAATAATTTTAACAGCTGTGCGTTGCAGTTGTTTCATCTCTCTCTTTCTGAGGAAAACCAAATCCAATTTGCGCCTGTACTCTTGTGTTTTTGAGTAATGACATGATTATGGTGCCGGTTGTTTTGCAATGTAAATTAAAAATGGTAACATTTTTCAATTTCTTGCCAAAAGCCTCAAATAATTAATGCCATTCCAGTAATGTGTCTTGTCCAATCATAGTCCGCTACACTCTTAGTTCTAGTCAACATCATGACACTATAATTATAAGGATTCCAATGACATGGAAATGAGTGGAACAACTCGCGAGCAGATGTAGACAGACACAGATTATAGTTTGCCATGTTTTGGGGTGCAGCCTCTTGAGCAAAATTCGCAATCAATGATTGCAGACTACATCAATTAAAAGAGATCACAAAAGTGCGGTAGCACCGATTTACCGCAATAAAATTTTTGCATAACTACAACTATGGCAATTATTGCCGATGTCCATCTATTAGTTGCTACACCGGGAGAAATTCGATGCAATGGGTGTAATTTTGTAGCAGATTTTGTCTGTTACGGGAAAAGATTGGTTTTATAGACATCACCACAATGTGGAGGATATATAATGTCATTTCGACCTCGAAATATTCTTTGTAGACCCGATGAAGTATATGTATCCCTCATCAAAACAACATCAAAACTAAGTGAAAATATTTTTTCAAGTTATTAGGGGAAATAGCCATTACAAACCGGGTTATCAATCCATTATTGAGAAAATGGATGACGAACGAAATAAGTATCTTTTTTTGCCACTAAAAACGTTAAATTTGGTGACCAAAAATATACCCTCAGACAATGTTCGATTATTTACATATATTTTGACTTCTGTTATGATTATTCAAATTGTGGGCCCTCTATGGAGTAGGTTCCGAAGGAATGGACCAATATTGTCCATTTCGTGTCGGATCTAAATAAATATTTCGACTTCCTTCACTTTATATTAGATACGTGATAATTTTTAGAAAATGTTGAAATGTGCGTGGGGTACCAGATATAGTCGACCAAAGTATTCCATTTTCATACTTCATCTAATGAAGATAAAAATATTGATATGGGCAAAATGACATAAAAATCGAACATTTGTATCCAATTTTATGCGAAATCATAAATTCTATATTCGTCTCAGGTTTCTGGTTGAGAGAAATATTTAGATATAGCAAATTGTAAAGCATCAGATAAATGTACTGAAAATTGTGACCCTTTGTGGGTGAGGTACCAGGAGGAGTTCGCAGATATATATCATCTTCACAACAGATCTTGTGTTAGCAAAAATGTTGGTATGTGTGAAATTTGAAGAGTGTTGTATGCTTATTTCGCTTTCTTTGATCGTTTTTCCTTTCAAAATCTTGAACCCTATGTTGGGGAGGTACCAGAAGAAATGGCTCGATCTCTACCATCCTTACAACAGATCTTGTGTTGATGGAAATATTGAAAGTCTGAATAGAATCGGATGTTAATTTCGCGTTTTATGAGCTTCATGGATATTCAAAATTTTGACCCTTTGTGGGGGAGGTACTTGATGGAGTGGACCGATTTTAGGATTTTGATGCAAATATTATGATTTTCGTAAATTGGCAGTTAAACAGCAAGCAAATCAAAGCATTTTATAACCATTTAAGACGGAGAGAAACTCGATGAAATGGGAATAATTTTGTTGCAGATTTTGTCTGTTAGCGAATAGATTTTTTTAGACATCATCACAAAGTGGAGGGTATATAGTGCCATTTCGACTTCGAAACATTCTTTGGAGACCCCATGAAGTATCTACATTCTTCATCGAAACCATATTCAAAGTGAAAATATTTTTTCAAGTATTTAATGCGTAACGTAATAACTTTGGACATTCCAAGGTCTACGGCCAAAATGTTTGAGTGTCCAAGGCTTTATTACACCCTCCAGAATATTTTCGCGATAATACTCGGCATTTATTCTGATGCTACGGTCGATTAATATGAGCGGAGAGCGACTATCGGCTGTTATGGCGGCCCGCACCATCACCATGTCCAGCGCTTGAGTTCGTCATTCCGTTTGTAACCCATCGAAATAATAATTTTAGACCCAACAAAGTATATATATTCTTGATCAGCGAACAATTCTAAGACAATTTAGCACCGTCTGTTGTAATCATGCTACAGTCAAAACGAATTAAGATGGAGAACTAAAATTTTGCACAGATCTGTCGATTGTCTGAAGGCAGGTCAAGTTCGAAGATGGGCTACATCGGTCGAATATCGTATAGCCCCATATAATGGTACCCCCGTAGTTCCCCCATAAAACGACAACGACCGATATTCGGTATTTTGAAGATTTTAACAACATATTTCAATGGAATTGTCTGAAATTCTACACTAGAAGTTTCTTGTGAGTACTTTATCCCCTAGAAGAGAGTTGTCTATATAGGTCCTCGATATGATATATCCCCTATATAAGGGTTCCTCCCGCTATTCGGTATTTTGATGATTTTTGAGACTTTTTTCTCCTTTTACTTTTACTTATGCAGGAAGAGGTATAGACCCAATATAACGGTTTTTATTTGAGTCATATTTTCCGCCGGAAATTTTTTTTGAAGTTTCTTCCAAATAGTGGAGTGTATAAAAATTCGGCCCGGCCGAACTTAGCTTCTTTTTTACTTACTAGAATTTCAATGGTTTTACCTCGAGCTCATTTTTCAATATTTGCCGAATGGAATATTGCGATATGTTCATCTCACGAGCCAATTTTCGGCCACTGCGACGCGGGTTTCGATCAAGTCGCTTCTTTTCTTTTCAAACCATTTCTGATGATGTCGCTGTTTTCTTCCGTTTACTTCCTTGACGTCGGGCTACCAGTATCACGGTAAAGAGCGATGGTACGAAACAAAAAGATTTATTCAAATTTAAATGCTGGAGTGCTCCAATAATAGCCCCTTGTAGTTTTCCAGCCAAATATGAAGAAACCACACGATCACGCTTGAATTCCATCACAAATAACACGAATAACTTGAATTCCATCACGAATAACAGTAGACATGTCTTCCAGGTAGCGGTAACACTTAACCACACTCCATTACCAAATAGTTGATTTCCTATCTAATTTTTGGCAATCGCAACTAGTTTGTAATCAACCTATTAACGAATGATTTTAAAAGACCATTTCACACAACCAATAGGTCTTCAAATAATGAAAAATGCCTTACTTTTCACATCTGATTCGAAAATTTCACTACTCAGTTAACGGGAACTGAACACAGTTACGCCATTGCTTAAATTATTTATATTGTTCATGATTTCTCAGTGTACGCCGTACGTTTTCGAGCTGTATTTATCAACACCAAACAGCTTAAAAAATAACAAAATACAAATACTTTGGCAAAGCCAGTTGATTGCTTGTTCTATCTCTAATTTACTTACCTCGACATGGTCCCGGATATGCAACACCAATTGATCGACCAATTTTGCAAATTATACGATTTATCTCGCACATGCTTTTGTATGTCTTGCCATCAGCGCCACAAACGGCTCTGGTCGCATCCACTACATCATTGTCATTATCATAATCGTCCAGTGGGCATTCGATTTTACATGCTATGCAGTGCGGCATGGTGTACTGATCCTCGACACAAGTAAGTCCTTCCAAGCACTTGACTCCATTGCAAGTAGCTGCACGAGGCAATAGAAATGGGGTAGGGTAGGGAGAGGAGTGAAGAGAAGAAACACAAATACATGGAAAAATTAATAAATGGTATAATTTACGACATGCACCGAAGAAAGTCGACTGATTGTTGTTTGTGAACATTTGAGATGGCCCCCAGACCATTAGACACTAACAAACGATCGTTCGATCGGTCCACTCGAATCGCCTGGCAGCCAACCAACCCCACACCACTGGATTGTCATTACCTGCCATTTGCTGCAAATATGTTTAACAAATAACAGAAAATATTTACAGCCAATAAACAGTCAAATTTATCATTTAATGTGGCATTGGCATGTAACGCCTTGGCGCCACGAATGACAGCATCCGAAATGGCGACCATTTTTTTTTGGTTGGTCTTGCAGGGAATTTGTTGGTGAATTCAATGGCATAGCAACAGGCCAAATGAACAGGTGATGCTGCCATATTTTTGGACATAAATTTAATGTTTGTTTGTTAACTCTCTTGGTCGTATGGTCGCAGTGGATTTATGTACTTTATGGAAAATCGTTTTTAGGAGTTGATTTGGCCCTGTCCGTCCGTTTATCTGGTGCTTACAATAACTCTCGTAGGGAGTATCCACTTTGGTCCCAACTTTGCAATGCGTATTAATTTTACCAAATTTAGATCGGATTTTGAGATGAGCGATGTCGGTCCACTCATAATATACCACTACCCAACATTTTAAAGTATTCTTAAATATAACATCTCGTATTAAACGAACGATGTACCTAATATAGTTCAATCTTTGCATATTGCAATCTTTATATAAAACTTAGGTCAGAAATGTGTATAGATAATATTGACCCACTCTTTCCCGTGATCAATATCTTCGATCGATCAAAATATTCAAAAACAGCCCATATATCATAAAAAGTGATGGAAATGGACCAATATCGATCCACTCCATACGGTACCTTCACAACAAAGACGTACCTTTATAAAATATAAAATCAATACTCTCCTTTCTTCTCCGAAGTTTCCATTACCAAATAATGGTTTTCCTTGTTAGTTTTTGGCGGTCGTAACAACTTTCGAATCAACATATTATATCCGTTTTTTACAAGGATGGAGGTAATTTTGTGCTCTATTTTTCTTTGGTACCGTTTTTTACCCTCCACCGTACATTAAGTTCGTCATTCCATTTGTAACTCATTGAAATAATAATTATATATATTCTTGATCTTGATTATAATACGATTTAGCCCTGTCCGTCCGTCCGATAGGAAGCTAAAACTTTGCACATATCATTCTTTTGTCCGCTAGCAGTTCATGTTCGAAGATATCGGTCCACAATATCGTATAGCCCTCATGTAACGGTACCCACCCAACATTCTATATTTTTATGATTGTAGCCAAATTTTTCAAATAAATTGTCTGAAAATCCACAAAGCGAGTTCCTTTTGAGCACTTTACCCCCTGGAAGAGTATTATTTATATAGGTCCACGATATCGTACAGGGTTGCCCAAATTCGACGGCCCCATGTTTTTTTAAAAATCAAAGAAAAAAATAAAAATTTGGCGGTTGGCTATGTTAATCATTTAATTTGTTCCAAGTAGATTTGTTTACATCAATTTGTGAATATGATATCTCTCAAATGGCCGCCTCTGGCGTTGATGACGTATTGTGCCCTTTTTGCTGCATTTTCCATCGTTTTTGCCAACATTTCGGTCGGAATAGCGGCTATTTCTTCACGAATGTTGTCCTTGAGCTCTTCCACGGTCCTTGGCTTGTTAACGTAAACCTTTGACTTCAAATATCCCCACAAGAAGAAATCAGGCGGCGTCAAATCCGGCGAACGCGGTGGCCAGTCCAAATCACCACTTTTCGACATCAAACGGCCCGGAAACAAATTCTTCAGAAAATCGATTGTTATGCGACTTGTGTGCGGTGGAGCGCCGTCTTGTTGAAACCAGAACTGCCTCATACGCTTTCGACGAATAATTGGCATCACAAAATTGGTCATCATGTCGCGATAACGCTCCTGATTGATGGTAACAGCATGGCCATTTTCATTTTGGAAGAAAAACGGCCCAATGACCGTTTTCGGACTAACGCCGCACCAAACTCTGACTTTTTCGTCATGAAGAGGCACTTCTTGAATCTTCTGAGGATTTTCAGTGGGGTAAAAACGGCAATTTTGCTTATTTACGGTCCCATTCAATGTGAAATGGGCTTCATCGGACATGATAATTTTGTTCCAAAATTGCTCGTCATCTTCGGCCATTTCGATGACTCTTTGGGCCCATTCCAATCGACGAGGCTTGTCAATTAAATTTTGTACGGGAACGAATAATCCGTTGTAAAGTGGACCGAGCCATGCCCAACTGCTGAGAACGGCGTTTTTGGGATGTTCTTGGGGACCTCTCAACACTGGCTCGTACGGCAGCGATATTCTCGGCCGATCGCCTTGGTCGACTTTTATATGGCCTCTTCGGATTAGAAAGAGCCTTACCAGTCGAAAATTTTTCGTATAAACGCTAAATGGTGTTCTTAAAAGGCGCATTTCTCACATTTTTTAATGTTTTAAAATCACGTTGAGTTTTCACAATTGACTTCTTCTGTTAAATGTAAATTTCAACTATTTCAGAGCGCTCGCGTGGCGTGTATTCATGGTAAAAATCTGCTTGGACTGACACTTCAAACGTGGTATGTCATTAAGCGATGTGACATCTCTGTCAAAAGTTATGGCGTTGCCAGGTGGGTCCGTCGAATATGGGCAACCCTGTATATCCCCCATAAAAACGGTAAATCCCTATATCCTGCATTTTGATGATTTCAGCTACATTTTTCAATGGAATTGTCTGAAAATCCATACTAGGAATTCTTTCTAAGCACTTTAGCCCCTGAAAGAGAAATGTCTATACAGGTCCACGGTATCGCATAGCCCACATACAATGGTAATCCTCCATATTGGATATTTTGACGATTTTAGGGACATTATTCACCGGAGTTGTTTTAAATTTCGTAATTAGAATTCGTAATGGGTACTACAGCCTATAACATAAAATTGTCTGTGCCGGCTCAGGTCTTCGTATAGGCCCCATTTATCAGTACCTCCCTATATTCGGTATTTTTAGGACTTTAGATATAATATTCACCGGATTTTTTCAAGATTCGTATTTGAATATTGTAATAGCTTATGACAAAAGCTGCCTATGTAGGTCCACTTCTTCGTATAGACCCCAATATAACGGCTACATTCGGTATTTTTAAAATGTTAACAGAATTTTTTAACAGATTTTATTTTAATATTTTAATTTCCAAATTCGTCCCAAAGTCCTTTGCCACTGTTAAACACGTGAACGATCGTATCTGGTGTAAAAACTACATCAGCAACCCATCGAATTTTATTATGTTGCTTTTCGTTTGCCGATACAAAATTTCTAATTTGCAAAATTGGGTTTTGCAGTCGAATTCGCACACTTCTTGCCGTTTTACTCATTTCTTGGTAATGATGAAAATAAGTTCCTTTGCTTTGTACTGTTTAACGTATAACCCACTATTTTCAATCTAATGACAATGGAGGATATAGTTTGTTTACATTTCGGGCTTATTCATCTCATTAGCTTTCAAATTTTAGTTGGACACGAAAATATACCTACATCTTCATATTCTGAAGGTATATATCAGGTTCTTAAACGACTTATATTTTCCAACGTAATTTCAGCTAATACTGTTATTATAGGACCCCACATAATGTGGCTGTTTAGATTTCATATATTTTATTATATGCCTAATTTGAGGTTAATATATTCAAAAATTTCGACTTGGTTGACCTGCATGCCAACATATAGTTCTTTTATGATCTCAAATAAATATGGGAATACTTACTTTTACAATGACCGCGATAGGCAACTTGCAGCAAATGATTATCCGTACGACAAGCGCGTTTCCGCAATTGGCATTCGGTGTTGTAGGTTCGTCCATCCGTACCACAAACAGGGTTAATAGATCTTATATTGTCTGTAATCTTGTTTGAGTTGGGAAGAAATTGAAAAAATAACAAAGAAATGGTATTAAGTGATATGGCACACGGATTTTAATCGAAACAAAGTTACAATTAAGAAATGTATAATACCCTTAACCAAAAGATGGATGGATGGTATATAAAAATTGTCATTGGTTGTTAGCATATAGTTCTAAAGTAAATTCCAATAAGTTTTATTATTCTAAGTTTTAATTTGCCGATAAACTGTGAGGTATCAAATATGAGGTGAGTTCACTTAGTTGTTTCCACAGTTGTGGAAACATAATTTTGAGATGATTTTGTTGTAAGGGCATCACAACGGCATAGTTAAAACTTAGGTAAGGTTAGGTTGAAAGGAGGGACGAAAATTGTCTAATGTCCTGGTGGACATACACTTAAGCCAGTATAGGCCTGTTGTACTCTTTAGACTAAAGTTATTGAAAGATGACCGGCGGTTTACAGTTTATTATGTTAGGAATTCAGTTGCTTAACAAAATTCCTTAACTATTTTTCTTTTTTTCATTTACCATAATCTGATTAATTTCTGGTATGGAGTCGTTTCCTAAGAATTAGGATCTGATACTTGCAAACGCTGGTCATTCACAGAGAAAACTATTCCAGGTTTCATCATCTTCCCGCATGTCCTGCATATGCTGCTATCTGCACATACTATCTTGTACAAATGAGCTTGTGGGTCCAGGTGCCCCTTATGTACACTCCACTAATTTCTTCTCTTCATTGGGGTTCCACCATAGGATTTTTATGGTATTCCCGAAGGTGTTTTGGCGTTTTTTGCCCACGTCTTTTACTCTAGACGTGACGGATATAGAGGCATTGCATTATCCAAGTTTGCGGTTGCTAATTCCCTGTCTGTTTTGGCGAGAGAGATCGCTATCTCGTTATCCTAACGAGATAACTACTGCCCTATATAATGCGTACTGAGCTAATGATATGCCATGTGGTCTTTATTTAACCACTCGTCCGTAGCCTTGATTCTCATGGCCGTGACGGCCGTTTCATGCCATATCTGAATGTCTTTTGGGTCTACATATAAAATTGTTGTCCTCATTGTACCGCCAATGCCTAAGCAGCACATTCGTTACACTTTCTATAATATTTTTGTATTACATTTTTTATCCATAGCTGTTCATCAGACTACTGATGCGTATGGAAGAACAGGTCAATGTGCCATCTTTGAATTGAATACCCATTTTAAGCCTACAACAATTTTTCACGATGTTCAGTATCTGTGAGGTTTATTAGTTTTTTCTTGATTGTGGTCTCTTCAATTATGATTCCTATCTACCCAGATATTTAACCTTATTGGATATGTTGATGATCTTGTTCAGGAAGACTGGTTCATCGAGTCCTTAATGGCAGTAACCCACAGGAGAGATGATAAAATCCAACCTGTGAAGTTCCCTGTTAACGTCATATATTCCACAACTTATCTATCTATTTCTTAGCATATGGCTATGGATACCCTGAGCACTAGTGGTATATTGAAAAAAAAAAAATGATGATAATAAAGTATTGCTTATCTTCCCCATTTCTGTGTTTAATACTTAGATGATTAGACTTCAACGAATGTAGACATGCGTGGGGGATGCACGCATTGTTGCTCCGTTAACATTAAGAAAACACATTATAGATGGCTTTTGTAGATTACCAATCACAAAATCTAATTTTTCACCACTACATGCCATTGCCGATATTGAACAATGCATTTCAAATCTTGAAGATAACGAAAAAGAAATATGTAGAATAAAAATTGCCAACAGAATAAGTAACTACAAACGAAATAAGAAATACAACCAAAAAGAAAGATTCATTCAAACTACATTCGAAAATACCAAAAAATTTCTAAAAGCACACAAAAACGTTATTATTTTGCAAGCCGATAAAGGAAATAAAACCGTAGCAATGAATAAAAAGGACTACATTTCTAAAATGGAAACTCTTCTACAGGACAAACACACATACAAAATATTACGAACAGATCCAACCCAAAAATTACAAAAAGCGAATAACAATTTGGTCTCAGAACTATACAAGAACAAGAATATAACTTTGTTGGAAAAAAAGAAATTATCTTGCACCGCAGCTAACGCGCCTCGAATATACGGGTTGCCGAAAATTCACAAACCCAACATCCCACTAAGACCAATTGTTTCGTCAATGAATGTACCATGCTATGAACTTTCAAAGTACCTTGGACATATTTTAAAAAACCTAATCTCGAAGAACTATAATATAAAAAACTCTACTTCTTTAAAACAAAACATAAAAAACATCCAACTTGACAACACAGACATTCTAGTCTCATTTGATGTAGTGTCACTTTTCACAAATATTCCTGTCCACACCGCAATAAAAATCATAATGGAAAAATGGGATGAAATAAGAAAATATACAGAAATACCAAAATCACGTTTTCTTCAAATTTTACAATTTTGCCTCCAAGACAACAACTATTTCATGTTCGACGATAAAATATATAACCAAGTATTTGGAATGCCAATGGGAAATCCACTATCACCGACAATAGCGGACATAGTCTTAGACAAACTACTTGACGACACACTAGCTGAGCTACAAAGTAAGGACATAAATATCAAATACATAGTCAAATATGTAGATGATATTTTAGCAATTATTAAAAAAGACGAATCAGATGAAATTCTAAACACATTGAACAAATACCACAACAAAATACAATTTACCATGGAAACTGAAACAGAAGGCTCAATATCATACTTAGATGCAAGATTAATTAGAAATAACCAAAACATAGAATTCGACTGGTACACAAAAGACACATCATCTGGTAGAATAATTACTAATTAACGGCACCGGCGAAAATTTCGTCGGTCGCCGCGACCTCAATTAGCTTTATTTCTATTTCATACGCCGGCGACCGGCGAACAAAACAGTACAAGGTGGCCATACTTGTACGAATTTTATGTGTTTTAGTAAATAAAGTTACTTTTTACTTTAAAATTTGTTATGGTCACTCTACTATCTGTTACTCGTATAAAAAAAACATAATTAATTTGTTTATTTATTTGTGTACTTGCGCCTGAGTGAAGATGGATATCAGTGAATTTATAATAGAGAAGATGGACATAAGTGAAATTATAATAGAGAACGTAAAGAATTATGTGTTCTTGTATAATTCATTGTAGTCAACAAATGAGCTAAAAGTAAACAACTTCATCAGCTGTTTTATAATTTCGTCGGTATTGTGTTCCATACGACGAATTTTCGCGGCTCATTTTGTCGCCGCGTAGGGCGAAATTCGTCGTTCGCTCCAATTGTGTTCCTAGCATTAAGCACAATATTTACAAACACAAAAACACCTATTGACAAACAACAACAGAACAACGTTGTTTATAAAATTCCATGTAAAGGCAAAGCGAATGAAAGCTGTAACAAAATATACATTGGAACAACAAAGCGATCACTACGCACACGAATGAGCGAACACAAGTCGGACATAGAAAAACAAAAGGAGACAACAGCGCTATCACAACATGCCTTTCACACTGGCCACTCACCAGACTTTGATAGCATAGAAATATTAGACAAAGAGAAAATAGAAAAGAAAAGACTAATGATTGAGAGCCTTAGAATACAACAACATATTGACAAGACGATGAACCTAAAAGAAGATACTGACAACATAAGTTCGTGCTATGGAGTGGCAATAAAGTAAAAAACTGTGATACTAATTTTTAAGTAGTGTACTTTATTATATGTTCTATGTAAACTCGTCTTAAAAATTATATTTTAAGTTTATCCCATCTTGTGAATTAATATGAAATTGAAATGTTAATTTTTGATTTATTTAAATAGACGAATTCCCCAGAAGAAGTCGCCAAAACAGCGACGAAACGTCGGGAATAAAATACAAAACAAAATAATTTTGTTTTAATTTGTATATAAAACCTAAGGTCAAGAAGCTAAAACACAAACCATAAAAATATATGGAGTTTATATATAATTTTTTGGATAATTTTGCTAACATAAAATTAAAATTTTTCTTACAAAACGCCCAAAACAAGAAGGGAGATATTTTTTACGTGCTTTTTGGTTTCTCTCACACACACAAGCGCAATGTTCATTTTGTGCATCATAGGTTTAATATCTAAATATGTAAATTCTATGCCTATTATCTTAGGAAAACTTTTTGTGATATTGTCGATCTTTACACTTCTATAATAACAATATAAACGTATAAAGGATGGCTCAATCTCTCGATTTGATACACAAACATTTTTTAATATTTTCTCTAGATTTGTTTTGTGGTTTAAAATGGAACTTGTTCGAATATTGAATGTAAAATTGTTAATTTTTTATATTTTATTAGCTTGTTACCAAATAGATGAACTCATTGGCCCTCTCTACTTGTCGTATTTTATTATTATACTAGCTGAACCCGGTGCGGTTGTCGTTCGGATTTATTGATTTCATAGCAAATGGTAAGCGTGCAGAAAACTGCATCTTTCGAAGTTGAGTGGCATATCTAATTAGAGAATTCGAGGTAGCGACATTCTTCCCCGTAATAATCGTATCCCCTATTAACTTGTGAAATTTTTTACTTTTAGCCTAATACCATTGCAAAGGCGTTGATTTCTTAATGAAATCATATCCTAATCCGAACCGATTTCAATATAATTTGACAAAATTTACTGTTTCACCAAATTCCGTCATACCATCCATATTTCATTGAAATTGGTGCGTCAAATTTGTGAAATCGGCCGAGAATATATATCCAAATCCTAACCGATTTCCAATTAATTTGGCAAATTTATTATTGTAACCAATTTCAGTCAAATATTCTGAATTTCATTGGAATCGGTCATGTATATCGTGTATGGTGGACATAACTTACATGAAATCGGCAGAAATATATTAAATTATTTAAAATCGACCGAAAATATATACGGGAGCTATATCACAATTTGAAGCGATTTGAATATAATTTGAAATTTTTTCTGTACCAAATTTTGTCACTCATGCCGAATTTCATTGGAATCGGACATACGTATCGTGTTTGGTGCAACAAATATGTAAAATCGGCCGGAAATATATATGGGATCTATATCCAAATCTGAACCGATTTCAATATAATATAATTAACAAATTTATTTTCTGATCAAAATTCCATTACACATTCTAAATTTTATTGAAATCGAGCATACACAGCGTGTTTAATGCATCAAATACATGAAATCGGCCGAAAATATATATGGGAGCTATATCCAAATCTGAACCGATTTCAATATAATTTCGCAAATTTATTTTTGTTCCAAATTCCGTTATGCATTCCAAATTTGGAGACTGTATCTGTAATCCATCAATAGATATGTGCATATAAAACCTCCGATACTGACGATATATCTATCAAGTGGAATTTAATATATGTATATAGCCTATGTTACTTTCAGGCGCTGTTTTCGAATCCATTAATTACAAACAAACAAACAAACAGACTGTTAGGTCATTTGCAAAAATGGACAATATTGGTCCTCTCCACAAAGTACCTCCCACACAAAGAGACGAAATTTGATATAATTATAATTCTTATAAAATGTGAAATAAGAGTCCGGTCAAAATTTTTGAATAACCAAAACGATCACTAAATGCGAATTGATATTTCTGCTAAAACTTGATCTGGTGTGAATATGGAATATATAGAATCGCTCCTTCTGATACCTCCCCCCATAAAGGGTCAAAAGCTTAAATAATCGTAACGCAAGTCAATATATATGTAAACAAACAGACATTGGCTGAGGGTATACATTTGTCGGCTAACCCGATTGATACTTTTTGATTTGTGTTTTCTTCACTTGCCGGGCACACTCTGTGGCAACGTTACTCATTACTTATTTATGATAGAATGTATGTATGTATTTTTTGAGGAATAATCCATTATTTTCAACCTACTGGTATTCGTATCGTACAACTCCCAAAATTTTGCTGGGTTATTAGTCCTTTGAGTTTTGGGTCAATCAGTGTGAGCTCAAACAAGACCATAGTTGAAATAAATATTTTTTTCTTTGGTTTTTCTATTTACCTACCGTTATTGCATGGCTATTTTTCGGAAATCCATGCAAATCGAACTGATCCACATAACTGTCGAACGAGGCCGAATCGAAATTATGCGACGTTAAAATCGTGTTATCGTTGTCGTCGCTGAAGCCATTGAGTGTGGCCTGAGTTTTCCCCCCACGATCGTAGTGTGGATGAGCTGCTCCTTCGCCTCTAACGTTGTCCATGTATGAGAAGGCGGACGAGGAGGATGTGGAAGCGGCTGCAGCCGGCATTGTTACAAGTGTTGTCTGCATGTATGGATGGGTTGATGCTGCTGCTGCCTCAGAGCCAGGCGATGGCAGTGCTTGTGCCCTCGACGAGGATGCTGAAGTGGGTAATAGTAATGAGGATGACGCAGCGAGTTTACTTCCGTGATTTGCCAAATGACTTTGATCTGAGGCACCAACAGACAGTGTGGACTTTAAGGGAGTGGTCGTTAACAATTCCGACTGTTGTGGCGTTGTGCTGGCCGAAGATGTTGCAGACATGGTGCCAGAGGGTAGCACTTTGTTGGCAATGCTGGCAGTGGCGGCGGTGGTGGTGGTGTTGCCATAGTCCTGGTGATTCTTTGGAGTATTTTGTACATTGGAATGGTTGGCTTTGTTGTGTTGTCTGTTGTGTTTGCGTCTGCCAAAACCCGAATTTTGCTGACGATTGTTGTGATGATTGTTCTGGTGGTGATGCTGATGATGATGTTGGTCACGGCGATCGTCATAATGCCGCTGTTTCTGCTGTTGTTGTTTGTGTTTGTGCTGCTGCTGCTGGTGGTGATGACGATTGCTGTTGTCATTGCGATGACGATGATGATGATATTTTGGAGCATTCTCAGCATGTTGGCCATTTTGGTCAGGTCGTCTAACGTGGCTGTTGTTGTTATTATTATCGTTGCTGCTGCTGGAGTACTGATCTCGTTGTTGTGTTTTGGTTGTTTGTTGCAAATCATGATTATTTTTGTTGGTTTTGGACTTGTGTCTAGACATGGACTGGTTCCGAAATCTCGTTGTTGCATCATCATCGTCGTTGTCGTTGTCGTTGTCGCTGTCGTCGGAGTGGTTTTCGTCGTTGTGGTTGTTGTTGCTGCTGAAGCCGCTGTTGAAAATTATGGGCCTGCTCCGGCCTCCGCCATCACCACCACCACCGCCGCCGTCCTCGTCATCGTAGTCATCTTCTTCTTCCTCATATTCCTCGGAGAGATCAGTGTACTCGTGCTGACCATTTGCGTTGTGGTTGTTGTTGCTGTTGCTATTGCTGTTCTTGTTGCCCTGTCTGGCATATGTGGATCTTACATTGCTAAAAAGTTGTATCCGTCTAGTGGTGGGCTTTTCCGTATGCTCGACATTGGCTGTTATCAGAAGTCTGCGATTGCCTTTGGGCTGCTGGTTTTTTCTTCGTGGCGGCGTTGGCGGTGGTGCCTCCTGTTGGTGGGTATAGTCGTGTTGCATGTGTATGTGAATAAATTTTCTTTGGTTTTGTTTTTCCGAACCTAAGTTTGCATTTGTAATTTCACTACTTAAACTATGGGTGTCGCGTTCCTGTCGCGACCTCTCCTCCCGACGTAACGTCCGCTGGTTCACCTTTGCGGACACCACGCCACTACCATCGCTGGCAGCACCACCACCGCCACCATTTTTAGAAAACAGGCTGTGGTGCTGCTGCTGGAGTTGTTGTTCGCGTTGCAAGCGCCTTCGTCTTGCTGCTCCACATTCAGGCGCGCAAACGCACTTCGGCCGACCCTTGCGTTTGACGCATTTCTTGTTTGGTCCGCATTTGACGTTGCGACAACTTTCTGAAATGAAAAACAAAAACAGACAGACAAACACATGAAATGAAATTATTGGCAGATGAGTCCGGCCGTTGGTTGCCTTGTAAGTCGTCAGTCGTCTAATGGCCGAGTTCGTTTTCTGTTTCTTTAGTTTTTGCTTCACTTTTACAGATTCCAATCAAGTGTCTGTGCGATTACTTATTAGCATTTATTATTTTGTTTATTTGGTAGCTACCTAAGCACGGTGTGCATTCCATGCCGCCTCCAATCGCCGTCGCAAAAAAGTACTCGACATTTGTCGGCTCACGATCGGTGTAGGCGAATTCTTGATTGGCGCCACAGCAGTCACTCTTACTGACGTTGAACGAGAAGATTTCGTTGCATTTGCCATTACCTAAGACCGTCTGCCAGCAGGCTCCAGCTGAAAATAGCATCCATGGAAGAATAAGAAAAAAATGAAAATATTAAAGCATTAGATTTATGCACCTAAACATAGGAACATACTTTTAATACTTTTAATGTTCAATTACACACAGCATTCGCACACAAACTCACAGACATACATATACACACACGAAATTCCATACATCCATAAAAGTACTTTCCTAACCAAATGGAAATGGGTGAATTTAATTTGTCATGGCCATTAGTGGCTTAATGTTCATTCCAGTGACATGATCTTAAATTAAGTTGCCACTTGTCGGAAGGCGATGGGATTTTATTTTAGTTTCGCAACGAATCCATTTCAATTCGAATAAAAGATTAATAATGAAGTTGTCATCATGGTAATGGACCGAGGATTGGAGCTACAATTATGCGCCTTGTTGTTAGGCCAATGGAATACAAGGAATTAAGTTCTGATGTTGATAATGTAAAAACTTAGAGATATATTGAGGAGACATTTTTGTCGATTTTCATTATCCAAATATGCAAAACTGAGTCATACAATTATTGGCTGACAAAATGTATCAAAAAAAAAAAAAAAAAACAAGCAAAGCAGCAGCAATGTTCGGGCCCAACTTTATGATTGTCGGATAGAACAAAAGAAAATACCGGTGGAAAATGTCGCTAAAATTAAAAAAATCCCTATATCAGGTGTTACAGTAATATGTACGAAAACTTGGACCTCTGCACTTAATTATCTCCAGAGAATGTGTTCCCTGTTACGAACTCCAAATACAAAGTCTAAAATAATTCTGTAAAGAATGTAGCTAAAATCATACCGAATATTGGAAGGCACTGCTATATTCAACAGACGGTGTTTAGAAAATTTCGAAAAACTTAGTCAATTCCTATCACAACGAAAAGAAGGCACAAGTTTGTAGAAGGGATACGGAGAGTATATTGGGCAGCAGTTTTTTGCATTTTCAGTCAAATGATCGCATAGTGCTGAAGTATGGAGGGTGTATTAACTTTGTCATTCCGTTTGTAACTCTTCGAAATATTCATAATAGACCCTACAAAGTATATATATTCTGGATCAGCGTAAAATTCTAAGCCGATCTAGCGATGTCTGTCTGTTGTAATCACGCTATCTTTCGAACGAATTGAGATAGAAGGATAACATTTTGCATACATGCATAGTTTACCAGTAGGCAGGTTAAGTTCGTAAATGGGCCATGTCGGTCCACGTTTTCGTATAGGACCCATATAACGGTACCTCCAGATATTCGGTATTTTCATGATTTCAGCAACATTATTCGCGGGAATTGTTTCAAATTTTGTACTCGAAGATCCTAATGGGTACTACAACCTAATGGGTACTACAAAAATTTTTGTCATAGACTGTAGTACTCATTACGAACTTCAAATACGAAATTTGAAATAATTCCGGTAAATAATGTCGCTTAAACCATGAAAATAACGGATATCGGGAGGTACCGATTAGTATTCATTAAAATACTGAATATCGAGAGGTTCCGTTATGGGGGGATATACGATATCGTGGACCTATATGGACAATTCCCTTTCAGGGGTAAAGTACTAAGAAGTAACTCCTTGTGTGGAAAACCAGCCCCAGGTCTCTTTATACCAAATCTATTTCAGGACATTTGAATTCGATCTAGCGGTGTCCGTCCGTCCATCTGTCAGTCTGGCTGATGGGCTATATCGGCCTACTCCTCCTCCCCCACAAAAAGTCGAAATTTTCAAAGAAAATATTTTACTGCACAGAAAGAGAAATTATAATCCAATTTTGTTCCAACTTTGCAAATCCTAGTATTCGGACAATATCGGTCCACTCCATCAAGTACCCTCACCACAAAGGGTCCAAATTTTTAGTAATTATAACTCTTATAAAATGTAATGTAAGAGTCCGCCATTAACATTTGATTCCATTCAGTATTATCACATCTCAATATTTCTAGCAACACAAGATCTGTTATAAAGATGGTAGAGATCGGACCATTCCATCTGATACCTCCCGTAGACGTAGACGTTTTGAATAACCAAACGATTATAAAATCCGAAATAAGTATTCGGTTCTCTTCATATTTGACACATCCAATTATTTCTACTAACAAAAGATCTGCGATGAAGATAGAATGTATCGGTCCACTCCTTCTGGTACCTCCCTCCCAAAGGATCAAAATGAAAAACCATGAAGCTCATAAAAAGCCATTTCCATTCTGACTTTGTACATCTCAATATTTCTATCACCACAATATCGGTTATAAAGAGATCGGACTATTCCTTCTGGTACCTCCTCTCCATAAGATTCAAGATTTTGAAAAAGAAAACACTCAATAAAGCGGAATAAGCATCTAATTCAAATTTCACACACAAGATCTGTCGTGAAGACGATATATATCTGCGAACCCCTTCTGGTTCCTCCCCCTAGAAAGAGACACAATATTCAATACCCAGCTTTAGGGCTGCATTTCATTAGTTTTACTAACCTGCTCTACCCCCTTATTGTATCATTCCAACTATTCTGTATATAATCTTTGGGATTTATTATCTCATATATGTCGGCAATGTCGAATGAAATTTCAAATTATTTTTTGCTTCTGTACATCATATCTACATATTAATCAAATCATATTCGGACATCAAAGAAGACATTAATCAAAATTAAGATCAGCCATGTCTTTGATCTGTAAGTGTGTGCCACAGCACGGAGACATTGCCAAGGAATACAATTTGTGAACAAACGACAATTTCATAAAATTTTTTGTTGCACCAAACACATAAACATCGATTACCAAGAGTAAAGTGCTTTCAAATAGGCGTTTGATATGCCAAAAATATATATTTCCTTTTGCTTTCTGTTCTTCTTTTCACCACAGTAATAAGAAGAATATATCAATTTTATCATTCCGAAATATTAATTGGGGACCTGAAAAATATATTTCTTCATTAGCTTAAATCTGCATGCCACCTGATTTCTTTATATATTAGGAAAAACACGAAAATAAACTAAATGAAACGTTTTTAATCGTTCTGCTTACAGAACGAAACAGAACATGATCACAAAAAAGAGATTGAAAACATTGGTTTTTGAAGCTTATATTTCTCGGAAATTTTTATATCCAAAAATTTTATAGGACAAATCCGGATCATCTTAAAACACTTACTTTTTAAATTTTAAATTATTTTATGTCATATGCGGACACAGAAATATACCAGTAAATAAAAGTCAAAAGTCGGGCGATTATATGATACCCTACATCACTATGCATATTTAATAGAGCTTCCGTAACAAAAGAACTTATTTGAAGTAGATCATACCACCTATCAACATTTGAATTAATTTTTGCTGAATTTGACGGAGGCATTTTAATCTTCAATACCAAATAACATTGCTATAGAATACATGATATTACTTCGATATATATTTAAAAAATATGAAATAAATCAAAAATAATAAATTAAAAATTAAATAAATATTAACCAATACTACAAATAAATACCAAAAGACATAATACTCTTATCACTATGTGGTGTAGGGTATAATAAAAGATCGAAAAAAAATTGATGTGTCATTTTTGGAAGAAAAAAAACTTTTTAGATTTTAAAATGCTAAACGATTCAGAATTCATGGAAACAGTCGAAATAAATGTAAAATTAAAGTATGAGTAATCGAAATAATAAAAACTTAATAGAATTTTGTGGTAGGGGTCGAGATTTTAATTTTGTGGAGTACATAAAATATGTTGTGGAATTTGCTGACGACAAACAGTCTTTTCAATATTATTCGACTGCAAATGGACTGTGCGGGAAAAATGAATATTGGTATAGTGAAACAATACTTTCTCGGAGAGAGAAGCTGAGTCAGCAGAAAGTTTTGGGGGGTGCCAACAAAACAAGTAAACAGATTCTAAAGATTTTTAAAATTAATATTTTAATATTTCTCCCTTTTATATCTGGATGTTACGTTAACCTCAAATAAAACAGCAAAAAAAAAAACAACAAAAAAAAAAAAACAACAAAAAAAAAAAAAAAAACAAAAAAAAAAAAAAAAACATTGGAATCCGCTTTTCAACGGCATAAGAAATATTTTTCAAGCAGACAACTCGGTCCAAATACATTCAGGGTGAGATAAAAAAACTGCAACAACAGACACAATAGTCCAACGGATTGGTATACGGAGATTTTGGTGGTCATTGTGCGCTGGAAATGAAGCGAGGATGAATGAACCATTCTTGGGTGGCGCGTGCTGAGTGCGATGGTGCTGAGTCCTGTTTAAATGTCCAAGGTCTGCGGCCAAAATGTTTACGTGCCCAAGGCTTTAATGCATCCTCCAGGATATTTTCGCGATAACATTACGTACGAGTACGAGCGGAGAGCGACCATCGGCTGTTACGGCGGCCCATACCATCACCATGGCCGGCGCTTGAATTGCACCACGAATAACTTTTTTCGGGAAATGCTGTTGTACGCTTGTAAACAATATAATGACCTGTCACTGGAATACATTTAACACCTGTCTAACATAGTATGGAGGGTATATTAAGTTTGCCATTCCGTTTGTAACATCTCTAAATATACATAAATGAGCCATGTAGGTCCACGTTTTGGTATAGCACCCATATAACGGAACCTCCCATTTTCGGTATTTTGATGATTTTAGCAACAATATTCATCGGAATTGTTTCAAATTTGTTATTTGAAGTTCGAAATGGATACTACAGCCTAAGGCAGAAAATTGTCTGTGCAGATCCACGTCTTCGTATAGCCCCCATATAACGGAACCTCCCGATATTCGGTATTTTGATGATTTTAGCAACAATATTCACCGAAATTCTTTCAATATTGGTATTTGATGTTCGTAATGGATGCTACTGTTTATGACAGGAAATCGTCTGTACAGGTCCACGTCTTCGTATAGCCCCCATATAACGGTACCTCCCGATATTCGGTATTTTGATTTGAGATTATACCATAGGTATAATCTACTTCACTTAAATTCTCAATATATATTTTTTTGTTACGAGAGCTCTGCTAAATACGCATAGTGCTGTTGAGTATCATATAGTCGGCCCCGCCCGACTCTTCCACTTTCCTTACTGGTTTAAAATATTGTATAAATTTCAAAAGAGGATTGAAATAAGATGAGTATTTTTAAATTTCTTTAAAATAGGGGTACGAAAAGTTGTAAGAAACACAACTTTGTTATTGACAGACTGATAAAAGCTAAAACTTCGACCTTTTGCACAAGATAAGAGGAGATCTTTGGGAATTGTATTAAAAAGGAGAAAGTGCTACAGCATTATTATATAGCGTTCAGTCAGAGCTATAACTTTAAATTTTTAAATATGGTCTGAAGTAAGGTTAAATTTTAAAACGTTGTTATTTATTGCAATTGAGTGATGGGTAGAATCTAGAACGTTCAAATTTTGCACGAGAAGAACAAATACTTATGCCATATAATGTCGTTCTTGAAAAGAGATGGCCGAAATATATTTTCGTTGGGGTCAACATTTTTCAAATCATTTGTTAAACATTCAATTTGCGGTTTCCTAGATATTCGAAACATTGGACTAGGAACTTAAATTTCACTTACCTGCTGCAGTTCGAACTCCTATTGCAAAAGCAATAAACAATGTCAACAGCAGATGCATTGCTCCAAAGTTGTTGTTGCTGTTGTGGGAACTGCTGCTATTGGTGGCAACATTGATGTATTGATTCGTGGAATGACAGCTCTTCGAATGCTCCGTAGACTTGAAAACGTTAATGTTGCTGTGTGGAATAGACGCAGTCACTGGCAATTTTGTATGCATTGAATGATTTTCCAGCTGATAGTCGTGGCAACAATGGGACAACTTTGTCTGGCTGGACGATGGTGATGATGGTGTCGATAATAACGACGACAGGTTGGACAACAACGATATTGATGACATTGAAAATTTCGTTGTTGTAGTTGTTGTTGGTGGTGACTGCTTCAACTGATGTTGATGTTGATGTCGATGTTGCTGGTGATGATGCTTCGGACGGTAGCACTTTAATGGTGGCGCTGATGTGATTGTTGACACTTTGTCATAATTGCTGGCGTATTGATAGCCCGTTCCGTTGCGATGTCTGGCACTGCGGTTGGTGGCCTCACTACCCATGTTGGTGTCTTCATTAGCATCTTTATAGGCATTGCATTGATGTCTGATTTCGCCGTTCGCTGGCACTGCAGCCAATGTACGACTTGTGATGACAATCCTCCTCTGAATTTCCATAACAAATGGTTTTGCCGAAAACCCACTGTCGTCTGTTGTGACTACTGGAAATGGTGGTGATGTTGTTGTTGTTGCTGCTGCTGCTGCTGCTGTCGGTACTGTTGTCGTTGTTGTTGTTGTTGTTGACTGTATAATTAAAATTAATATTCTCGGAAATTTACTAACCTCTTCTCGTGTGTGCAAGGAAATTTTGTAATTCTTTATAATTCTGTGATTCGGCATTTTTCCTCCAGCCACCGGAAGTGGATGCGTTTGCAAATCGCCGCCGATACGCCTGCAACGATTTCGAATTGAGCATCTTCGTTTGTATTTGTAGTTCGATTTTAGAAATGTAATAATTTTCATTTTGTGCTGATATTTTTTGGTATTATTGCATTTGACATTTGGATATATTGTTTTACATGGTATGCGTTTCATGGCGACACTTTTCATTCGAACTTCTCGTTGACCATCCGAAATGGGGTTATTTAAATCCGATTGTTTGACATGAGATCAAATCTAATGAAAAAGGAGAGTAAATATGTAATTAAAAATTATTTATGTCAAAAAAAAAATCGGAATATTAAAATGGGTATTAATTTTTGTGAAAATGGATGTAAAGGGGACGTGTATGGAACTTATTAAAACTCTATCCATTTTAAGTGTTTTAACACTAAAATATCTCAAATTACTAACAACATCCTAAATTTAAGAAACGGATCACATGTTGTAATATTGAAAACGATTTGGCGAGGAAATTAGTTTAGTTTAGAAATTAGTTTAATTAAGATTAGATTCTTCTATTAGGTTAGGAACATTGGAATTCATTGGAACATTAGTCTATCAAACCGTGGACGCCGCACATTGGGGTGAGATCCTCAAAAACGGAGATTAATTCAGAGAAACATTCTACCGCTTTGAAATGTTGCTCAGACATTTATATTACCCCTAGATGTTTGGTAATAAAAATTGCACATATCGGTCCATATTTCGGTATGACACCCATATAGCGTTACTATCTGATTTCCGGTATTTTAAATGTTTTGACCATAATTTTAGACCAAATCATGTGTAACTTGACATCAAGAGTTCTGAGTAGATATAATCTTTTCACGCTAGAACATTTCAAAATTGCTCCAATATTTACTGTACCTCCTAATTTTCGGTATTTTTAAGGTTTGAGTAACTTGACATTTTGAGTACTGAGCTGACAGAATCTTTCCTTGCTTAATTTTATGAAGATAGGACCGCACTTTTTTTAAGAATCTCTTCCTGCAAAAATTTATGAAGATAATTCCACTAATATATATAGGGCCTTTTCCTAGCTCTACTTCCTAATTTTAGGTTTTTTGAGGGTTTCAGACACATCTTTTTAGAAACTTATTATTTGGTATTTGGTTTTTCAGTGGGTAAAAACTACAAACATTTTCTATATAAAACAACCCTTTAACGTAGGTCTCTAAGGCCCAATGAGGTTGGGTCCCCAAAAACATAGATAAATTCATGGTACAATGATATCAAGATAGGGCTATGATACCATATTTTAATTTTTTTATTTTCTTGGCTTAATATGTCAACTTCATTTGTTTATGTGTGTGTTTTCTTTTCAATAACAAAAAAAATTGTTCAGAAAACATTCAAATTCAGGTGTTTTCAAAATGTTTATTTCAACGTATGCATCGACAAAATCTAGAGTTTTTGTAGCGAAATAATCCTTTAGAGATATATAGTACCTGAGTTTGGAAAGAAGTGTTGACCTTTCATTCAGTTATCGCGGTTTTCAATTATTTATTCAAAATAAATGCAACAAGTTGTTTGATTTTTTTTATTGTTTTGATACTAATTCTGACATTACAAGCCAAACAGGTAGACCTCTATACTTGCAATTTTTTCAAAGTTAGCCTACCTTCTCTTCATTGTACCATGGATAAATTCACTTTTATTAGGATCACTTTTTAAATACCTGGTACTGGTCGTTATCTCTATATTAAACCCAAGTCAAATTTATGTATTTCATGTATCATTTTTAGAATGTTGTGATTAATGACACTATGAATATTTTTACCCAAAGACATATTCATTTTTTCACTTTAAACTGCAGTAAAAATGTGTGTAGATCACAAAAGAATTGCTTTTGTGGTTCAAAATGTCACTTAAATCTTTAAAATATTGTAAATGTGAACGTTTCCTTTATATGAGAGGCATACCAAGCATTAAATATTTTTTGACAAATTTTTGCAAGACGATGTATTATACTCAGAACCCAAAATGTCAAATTGCATCAACATTTGTTGGAAATTTTTGTCAAAATCCATCAATGTTGAAAATAAATTCGTTACCCTGTATGAATCTTGCATGAAATCCCCTCAAAGATTTCAAATCGGGTATAGAATTATATTGATTTTTTTTACAAACATATTTTTTAAATCTTTAAATTTCTTCAAATCTGTGGGTTTCGTTCCATGGCAAAAAAGCCTTGACCTGGGCCTATTTTACAATTTATTGGTTATTTTATTCTCGATAAGTTGTACAGAAACATTTTCTAATACACTGTCCATAAATACTACATTACAGCGGATTCGGCTTGGCAATTTGTCTTAGAAACTCCATAATAACTAAAATCATCTGGTTCAAAATTTATAGTATCTACGTCAAAACAAGGAACTATGTTAACTTCTTATAATGGGATTACTACATTGGGAAATTTCAATATCAATCATTTTAGGAGTACGACAGGTGTAATTTTATTCATTTATCTTAAAAGTCGTGCCTTTGAGAGAAATGGATGGAAAAGTTATATTGTCTTCAGATGCAGTTGAAGACTTATAAACTGAAATATCGTATTCAGTTGATTTCCAGCATGGTAAGACCCCAATAAGTCATACATAAACAAGTGGTGAAATGCTGCGGGTATATATCCTTCCGAACAACGACTGAGTCTTTCTAATTTGTTTTAAAATAATTTATTGTTCAGTATTTTATATTAGGCTTATTTAACCATAAATAGAGTCAAATCTCCCTCCATACTCATTGCCTATTTTAACTATTTCACATTTTTATCGATATGGTACACAAATTGTTTATAAGAATATAGCCACATAACAGGATTGTGTCAATGTTGGCTGTCAACAAATTAACCAGAATGAAACGATATGAACAGTACGAAATTAATTCATTCTATAAACATCAGTTTTCTATGGAATAACACAAATTTCCACTGCCAAGCCTCTCCCATTGTGAAGTATTCATCGTTACTCGCTGTGTGCACGGCCACGTCGATGTCGTCTGCTTCTCGGCTGGGCAATTTAAATGAAAACACGACAAACTGTTGCATTCGCCAACAGCCCTTGAGTGAAGAACACTCTAACAAGTGGCAGACATTGTACTTCATGCAAACATTTTGTTTTCTTTTTCTGCTTTTGTCTCCGGCCCAGATGGCGTTTTCATACGAACGTCTAGCGAAGTACGTGTAAAACAACATTCACAGGCCAAAGTAGACAGAAATTATTCAATTTCGAGAAAAAAAAAAACTCGACGATGCCAATATTTAATGTCTATGTTTAAAATAGCTATGAGACGAGAGAGTTTTGTGGTTTACCTTTTTTTGTTCGTCAATGTCGTTAAAGATATAGGTTGAGAAAGCTATTGTAATGGGTTGATTTTATTTTGAAACCTCAATTAGAGGATATATGTTTTTTGCCCCTCAAGGCTCTAAAGAGCAGGTTTTCCAACATTAGCAATCCATGCCAAGGGGACTGAAGAAACAAACGACATTTATAAAACTTGCAGCAAAATATAGTTATTTTACGATAAAAACAATTATTGACTAAGATTTTGAAATAAAATCACATCGGCCACAACAGATTTTAACTAAGAAAATGGTTCCAGTAAAAACTAGCAAACCCTCTTTCAATTCAGTGACTCCAATTAGTGACGAAATTAAATACACCAATTATAGGGAATTTATAATTTGTATAACCACATAATTCGTGCTCTGTTCCAGAACTTGCAAGAACCTATGAACGATTGGCTAAACTTAGTATACTCGCGCATTTTTGGTAGGCTCTACACAACTGTCTGTGCTGTCTCGCATAGTCCACGTGCTAAAAACAGATTTTCTTTTAGGAACGGCATTAATGGCAGCCATAAAAACACGAATGACAATTGTAATAAAGTTAGATATTTTTGTGGCTAAAAATAACCAGACACAGAAACCTGTTGCTGGTTTAAAAATTTATTGACAAACAAGCAGCCAGAGCATGGATTCCAAAATTAAAGCCAAGCTAAGAGAAAAAAATGAAAAAAATGTACGTAATACGAGACACTGTCGAGACTTGTTTTTGTAGGATTTTATTTTCCCAATTCAAGTAAATGTGAGTTGTTGGTCGCAGCTATTGCTGGCCGCACCATGCGCTCGGCTAGGTGTGCGTGTCGACTGGCGTTTGATGTTAATTGTGAAAGTGCCAACAGATATTGTACCGATATTTTAAAACCGATCGTTTGAGGATAGAATCATTGTAATCGTAAAATACAATGTGTTTAAGCGCTTAATTGTTGGTTTTCAATTTAGGGTGTACCATGACGTATACGTATTGATAATAGCTATACGCACAGATGGTCGGGGGTAGTAGATAAAGTAAGTAGTCATTTCCCCTTTATCTTTTGTTGGTTTTCAAAGCTGACGTTTTCCCCCTTCGTGAGATAACGGGCGTATCAGTCAGACTTGAACTTTGTAATTTAATAATGAATGAATTGAATACTTAATTTCAATTAAACACGTTTCTGACCATATACCTTCTGTAGTCATTAATCTGATGTAGTGTACCAATGCATGAAATATGATTACAGAGGCGCCTTATACAATACCAATAGGAGTTTGCCAATTTTTACAACTGGTCTAATTAGCCTTATGCCAGCAGTTACGGCCGTAATGTGCCTCATTGAAACAACGGGTTTAGACCCCATCTCATTTTGGACCAAATCAGTTTTTGGTCATTTGAAGTCGATCTTGATCTTGTCGTACTCCTAAAATAATTGACATTGATATTATGAGATCTCGATGCTATTGCTATAACTTCCATATAATGATAGTACTTAATCTTATGCTTTTTAAGGTCTTTAGAATATATAAACATTTATTGGTAGTAAATACCATGGTACAATAAGGAGGTAGAACAGCTTTGTAAAACTATAGAAATACAGCCCTGAGACTATGCCCGCTTCCTGTCGAATTTGCATGCAAACAAGTTGTTTAGATGCATTTAATATTTTCCTCATTTTTAAAATCAGTTAAATGGCGCGAAAAATGAATGAAATGCCTGGATTTTCTTTCAAAAATATGATCTAAACAGTTCGATCTTTCAATAACATGGCAAAAGTGGCGAATAGCTTCAATGCGGATCCCGCCATGTACGCGTCTCCCAATAATTGATTTTGAAAATATTTTCTTTTTATTTTTCAAAACAATAAATACATGCGCGAAATTGGCGGAAGTCGGGCACACTAAGAAGAAAATTGTAATCAGCTGGTAGCTCTACCTTACATTTTTATTGTACCATGGTAAATACTTTTGTTATTGTGGCGGCCTCGGCCGTCAAAATGGTTCATGACCCAGTATTTTTAATTGGTTGGAAGGCCCTAACCATATTTTCCAACCACTTGGTTCTAATTTAATAATTTCGATTTTAATGGATAAAACACCTTGACCAAAAACGGCATTGCGAACTTTTATTATGTATCGGCTCCTCTCGATTATTAGGACGGTATAGGTCGAATTTGAATTTCTAATAAAAATCGGTTCACATACAGCTATATCTCCCATATATATTGTTCCTCCGGTTTGCTGTTTTTGTTACCCATAGTCGATATTTGGTGCGAGCAATCAGATACAGCATAGAAATATATGAGCTAAATTTTTTAGAGATAGGTTCAGATTTGGATATAGCTCGCGTATATTCCGATCCGATTTCACGTTTATTGTGCAAAAAAGTGTAATATCAAAATCACGTATATTAGTTTCATTTGTATTTGAAAACAAATGAAATATAACTGATCTAAAGCTATATTACGCATCCAAAAACGATCACTGTTCGTATGATCTACTACACACAAATTCCCAATATAAACGTTTATTTGTTACGAGTAGCTCTACTGAATATGAATGGTGGTGTTATAAAGTCGGCCCTCACCGCCTTTTGACCTTTCTTTACTATTCAGTTTGTAAAACCCTGAATTCGAATATATTAATAACAGTAAAATGATATGCCGATGGAAATGTTTTGAATTCGATTTTTTTATTACCGACTTTTGACATGAGTGCAATATAGCGGTACCAATCAGTACAAGGCATATAATAAAAGTGAAATTTTTTCCAAATTATATATCTCAAATTCTTTACCAAACACAACATTTAGTACCATTTAGTACTTTTTATCCTTTTTTGTACGTATTTCCAAAACCACCTCCAAACCTCAACTCTACACACTGAGAGTACCCCTAATGCGAGATTTCCAATTTTAAGCACTATACCAGGTCCAATAACAAAATAAATACCATTTAGTACTTTTCATATACTTACTTATACTTGTACTAACCCCACCCACCAGCGGTGACCCAAATTTCCAACTCCAATCGTTCACTCAAAATCCAAATTCTACGGAATTTAATACCATTTAATACATTTATTACAGGAATTATTAATTTCCAAACACTTCCTCATCAGCAGTACTTTCCAAAGATTTTAGCTCAATTCGATCGATAATACCAAATTTCTCCAAAGTTACTGCACTTTAGTCCTTTTAGTACACTTATAGTTAAAATTTCCAGAAAACATTCATACGTCCATCCTCGCCCCAAATTTCAAAATTCCAGCTCAATTCAATTATTAGTACCATTTAGTACATTTATAGTTCGAAAAACCAACTTTATTTAGATTCAATTTGAAATATATTTTTTTGACAGTGACGTACTTGAAAATGCCATTCGAAACCATTTCGGATGGTGATCCAATTATAAAGATATAACTTTTTCTTATAAAATATACAAAATTTTTCAAGAAGCACACCAAAGGTCCTGGAACGGATTTCGTCGGAAATTATATAGGGTAAGACATTTTGATAAGGAAAGCACTTAAATTTGCTTCTCCTGACTTTCATTAGTTTTTATCAATCAATTCAGACATTTTTCTCCATTTTACATTTTTTACGTTTGTTAATTTTCAGCCAGCCTATAAAAATATTTTATTTGTTCGCATCCGACAGATTATATTTATATTCTTTTCGAAAAATATATGAGGTCTATTATATAAAATTAAAAAAGAGTAGATACGTAGCCACGCATCAGTCCTAAGACATCCCGTTGTCCGGTTTTTGTTAATGGATTCGGTTTTTGGTTTTCTCTATAACTATGGGCTGTCCAAGTGTAGAGTAGTGTGTGTATGCGTGTGAGAGCGCGAGTGTGTGTGTTTGTGTGCCATTGCCGTGTGATGCAGTGTAGTGTAAAATGTTGTTGATAATAGGCAGCAGACAACATGCCAGACATACATGCAGCATTGTTGTTAGATATGCTCTATTGCAATGGGTAGTTCATTTGAGTGTTGGCTAGAAGGAAAAAAAAAAACAAAAACCCCCGACAGATTCGAGTCTTTCCAAATACACGACCACAACGTTCTCGTAACGGCCAACAACATCTTGGTCTGGCATATAAAATTGAACGTGACTCAAGTTATTTTTGTTATCGCATAAAACGTTCAGCAAAAAAGTTAATATCTTTTATGGCTGACAACAGGCGCAACAACGTCCTTGAGATGTGTGCCTCTTACGGCGACAACCCTCCATGTTGCCGATGGATGTTGCACGCCATCCACAAGAGACATGCACGTCACCCAGCCAATTGGCTGTCTCGGTTCTCGAGAAGAGCCGTATTACTTCTGCTAATAATGCTGCCGCGGCCACTGCTGCTGTGCCGTTTTGTTATTGTCATTGTCAATCGGTTGCAAAGAATGCCCAAGTAGCGCTATGATACTGGGTGCCAGATCCGAGTGGTACGCTGCTGCGAGTCTGCTTTGGCTGTGAAGCACAGTTGTGACATACAGCGTCCGCTATGTTGTGGCATGTAAATGTGTTTCGGTGCACTAATCACGTCTGGCTGTCTGTTTGGAACATGTTGTACGAGCCGATTCGTAGGTGTGACTCTGTGAACTCCATTCAGGTGCATCGCCGCTTCTGCAACATTGTATGCTTGTTTCCGCAAGTAAATTCCTTAGATGGCAAATCGTTCAATTTACATAAATCTGTTACATATTGTAAAATTGTCCAACCGCAAGCAAGTTATCCATGAATAGCAGTGAAAGGGGCTGGTCGGGTTGGCTGGCTGGCTAACTGCGTGCCCAGCATATTATTTTATGCCAAGGCATCGAAGGAATTGGATGGAAATCAATACAGATTGAGCATTTGTTGGCTCCTACGATGACATAGTTTTCAAAAGGGACATGCAGAAATATAAATAAATTGGTTTTCAGGGAAAATGAGGAATTTATAGGATATACTGTAGAATTATTTCGTTTAGTTCTAAGGTTTTTCGTCGTTATTTTATCCTGGTTTTAGTAAGATATTTTGTGTTTAATATTAATTATACAATAATAATTAAATTATATTTCGTAATTATTAAGTCGATGGTGAATGGGAATCTCAAAATCTAAAGAAACTGGGTGACGAAAATTTGATTATGTGATCAGCTTCGTCTACTTGAAAATTATCACAGTTAGGGGGGTTGAGAGAAGTGAAAATTTTCAAATTTCTTTGATGGTACCGAGACAAACTAATTATTCTCCTGAATGGTGACGCGTTTAGAGGGCAATGAAACAAAGTCATCCATTACTGAATAATGAATTTCCCAACCAATTTTTATACCCAACACCACACTGTGGTCAGGGTATTATGTGTTTATGCATTAGTTTTTAACACAGAGAGGGAAGCGAGATATATCCATAGTTCCTTTTAAGGATCTTCACAGAAGAACTATTTGAGGTGATTTGTGCATGCCACCCCAATCGTGTGTCCGTCGAAATGAAATTTTGTATAAGTCGTTAGTTTGGCCCAAGGACGATCCCTATTTAAATTGGAGATAATCGGTCAAAATTTAGATATAGGTTCCACATATATTTTTGTCCGATTTGCCTTTTATTATACACCAAACGGGTAACATCCAGATCTTGTGTTATTAAAAATATTGATCATTTGGCTTAAGGCCTTCGCTGTAATTATTTTAGTTATAAGTTAAATTAACAAATAAAATAAATAAATAAAAATATTGAGATATGACAAAATTGAACATAATAGGACTTTTATAGGAGTTATAATTATTTAAAATTTTGTCCCTTTTGTGGGAAGATACTTTATGGAGTGGACCGATATTGTCAAGCACCTGACCAAGCACTAGAAAAAATATTGTGATCTGCTAAGTTTACATTAAATCGCATGATCCTTTCTGTTTCTATGAGGTAAATCTATATATATATATATAAAAGAAAGTTGTGTTATTTACTACGTTTATAACTTAAGAACCGCTGGACTGATTTTAACGATTCACACAAATTCTGAATTGTCTCCTTTCCGAAAAGGATAATATCCAAAAAAAAAAAAAAAAAAATGTAAAATAATATCCAAATAAAAGTAAAAATGTGATATATTAACATTTTCATTTTGACTTTTGAAATGTACAATAGTAATGTTTTATTTTGCATGACTTTTTTCCATTTTGACTTACTTTTTTCTAATGTACATTTGTAGTGTTTTATATATTTTATTTGAGAATTATTTAATTTACTTAATTTCTTGAGAACTGAAATTTATGGCGGGTTACATGGAAGTGTAGTACCGAATTATGTGGTGGCGAAACGGAATAGATGATATCGATATAATTTAACGCGGTCACACCAAAGTTAGGAGATAATTACTTTTTTAAAATCGCTAAAAAGATTCCTATTGCAAAAATTCTCAAATCGGGAAAAAACCGAAAAAAATTCAATGGAATCGAATTTTAAAAATAATAGTACATTCTATTGAGAAACTTTGTAAGGATCTTTAAACATTTGCTGTAAAAAATCAGCGAACAAGTTGAAGATTTTTTCAATTTGTTATTCTTCTTTTGTCAATTTTTTTCAATTTGTACTATCATATTGAATTCAGTGGATTTTTTTGTGAAAAAAATAAAGAATAATTTTTCAATATATACAATTTTTCACCAAAAAAACAAAATGAAACAAGTGCGAAATAGGATGTTAACTGACATCTACCCTTCAACTCCAGGGCCTACATCGTGGTTCAGCTGGAAGATGCGAACACATTTAAACAAACAAAAAAGACCGAAAAAGCCTAATGGGGCTCATTTCAAAGGGTGGACCTACTTCTTTCATGTGACAATAATCCGTCCAATGAGAGCTCAAAATGCAAAATTCTTTGGGAGTACAATCAGTAAAATACCAAATATAAAGGGTGCAAAATAGTAGAGCGAATGGAACTTTTAGTAAGAAAAGGATTTATATCCTTCCAGAAATTCTTCACAAACATTCAACATACCTTAAATCGATTTTGCAGGTCTTGATATCGATCATAACTCACGGATAAGGGTACAACCCAATTTCATGTTTATATAACCATCGTATGATTTAAGCTATTTTTGGGGTCTTGGCCACTTTTTTCATTTGTTTGCCCTTATTTGGGAAATTTTCAGTGTAGGGCCCATGACTGTGGTCTTGGCCACGTTTTTCAACTTATTTGGCCAGTATTTGGCATCTTGGCTTTTCTATTTCGAGAGTCTGGACAACATTTCCCAATCGGTTTTGCTGTATTTAGGCTACTTTGTGAGTAGAGAACCATCTTACAGAAAAATGTCTACATACGTAAATATTTTGGTACAGTCCCCATATAGTCCCCAGGGCCGCCGATCTATAATGATTTTTACCGATTGGCGGACGACAACACGGGCATTGTTTAATCGTCATTGAATTTTACTATGAACAAGAACATAGACTTTTTGGGGACGCTAATGCGCAATTTGAGGTGCAATGGTAATGGGTGTAAAAGCGTAATTAACTTTGACTATTCAGAAATTATTTTGCCCTCCTTCCATAGGTATTTATTTCTATTTAGTGGGATCAATATTTATATTAAAATTTGTTCACCTTTATGAGCTAGATTTGTGAAAAATTATGCTATATAAAATTTGCATAACAGACTAAAACTACGGGCCGGCAACGCGGACCTGGCCATCTAGTTATATATAAATTTTGAGCTTTTGTGGGGGAGGTGGCAAAAGTAGTGAACCAATGTTGCCAATCTCCGAACTCGATGAAAGCTTAACGATAATATTATGATATACCAAGTTTGGACCAAATCGGATACTTCCTTCGAGAGTTTTTAGACAGTCGGACGGACAACCCTAGAACGACTCAGAATGTCCTAAAACTGATTTGGTGCAAATATACTTAGGGTCTAAAACCGTTATTGCGAGGAGACACATTTTGAACGTATTATGTATCTATTAAAAAAAATCAAGTTCCATTCAATTAGTTTTGAATTCTTTGGTTGTATGGTATTAATGGTGTTAAATTCAATATAATTTAGAACTTTTCGCACAATTCAATCTAACTATTTTTTTAATCCTATGTATCTGAAAATGTAACCAATTTTAGTTTTATCTAGCACTTTATTTACAGTTAAATTAACATATTCCAGAATTTTCTTATTATCACAGCTGTTAGTTCCTACAGCAATCCTAATGCCAATTTGTAATTCTGCCGCCTTTAATTGTTCATGGCAAAATAACATACCTTTTCTACAATAACGCCGTTCTTGCAAATTTTAAAATTGTTTAATTGTTAGTAGTTTTTGTGCTTTATTTTAACCCTCCACATCATAAGTGAGTATCGTGCTAAATTTTAAAACCGTACTCCTTGTACCCCTTTTGCTTGAATTGCCCAAAAAATTGTTTAGGCTCATTTTTCCTTGTGTAAAATTGTATGGTTCTAGCTTTAGGTGTTTGAGGGTGTGAGTTGTTATACTACCGTCATGTATAGATGGATAAGCATAACATTTGGTACCT